ACCATAATGATTCTATGATTCTAAGTAAAGAAGCCATTATTCTAAAGCATAATCTTCCTAGTTGTAGGGCAGAAGTGAGTTATAGACCACCAGTCACATCCTGTGTTGCTAAACCCTCTCCCTGTTTTCCTCATTGTCAGTGGATAGAGCAGTTGACCTCATGGAGAGGCCAAATTTGCGTTGTTTTTGTAGCCTCCATGGAGGTGTGAACTCACGGCCCCAGACAGAGAATAACGCTCCTATTAATTCTATACCTGAAACCCAGGTCAGGGAGTATAGATGTGATTGAAAGCTGCATTACTTGTTCGACTTTCTAGCTTCTCCAGACTTTTATTGCAAACTTTCTGAATTATCCCACAAAACTTCATTTAAAAAAATTAATTTCTAGCGGTCCCTGTTCAACTGTGTAACCTAAATTTCTGTGATCGAAGTATTTTCTGAATATGAATGAGCTTTCAAGTGACTACTAAACCTATTCTAAGTCTTAATTTGGATAAAGAGCAATCTACATGTTTGAACAAGCGTAGTGTGCATGTTTTGTATGTTAAAAAAGTGTATATATACACAAACACCACACAACGCATGTTCCAACTACGTGTATACATTTATATAAAATACACATTGTATATATAATGTGTGTATATATTATGCATGTATATATAGTTGTTTGGTTTTTTTTTTAATAAATGCAAATATAGGACCTGCTCTTCAACTCATTAATGTCAAAAATCTCCATCAGATCAGGCTCTCTGTGATTCCTTGGGCCTCACAAGGAGTCAGTGTCAGACCAGGTGTAGGATTTGGCATCCTGAGCTGTAGTCCTTCGAGTAGGTATGAGGTGGGAGCCTCCATCCGTCACACACCTCCAGACTTGCTTATTATTTTGAAAGGTGTGGGTTTGGTTTTTTTTAACTCTTTACGTTGCCTTTCAGAGAACAATGCGAGGAGCTTCGTGCACAGTGGGTGAAGAAGCATCACAAGGAATTGTGTGAAGACTGGCTGGCCCAGCTAGCTCTGAAGGAGGAACTGAAAAAGCAACAGAAGAAGGAGGAGCAGATGTTTGCAGAGCTTTGGAAAGAGGATACGTTGGCTAAGGAAAAGCAAGAGGCGGTGGAGACGCAGAAATCAGCAGAACAGAATCGGGAAATCCTGAATGCGCTCAGTGCCCAGGTAGCGGTGCTCAGTGCTCACAAAGAGGAGGCCAAGCGGCTGAAGGAAGAAGAGGCTCGGTTGCTGGTAATTTCCATGTCATTCTTAATTCAGGGTTGTAAATAAGGCGCTCCTAATGATAGGCTTACTAGACATTTAGATTAATCCATACCTTCTTTGTATCTTCACTGATTCCATTAGTATCTGAGACTGTCCTGTTATGCTAAGCCTCTTTTCCAGAGCTGTGGCAAATGCATTCCTGTTTACAGAGGGAAATACATCTTTTGAAACTTAGCATTGTAAAGGATTTTGGCATTCAAAGCCTCTCAGAGCCTTTGTGGGAAATGGAAATGTTTTTAAGCTTCTGCCAGGCATCTTTGCAATTTTCTGATTTCCAGTTTCCTGTGGGATAGCTAGAGAGTCTCGTGTCCCAGCTGTAACACCTAACACCAGATCTCAGACCACGATGCGTATGTTTAATCATCACGGTAAGTGCAGTGGGAGGAAGCAGCAAGAACGCACCGTTCCCAGAAGGGAAGGCGAGCCAGGAGCTGAGGGTGACAGCCGGGCAGGCAAGTACGCCGTCCTCTCCGACAAGAGTCCCACAGTACCCGAAGGAACGGAGCAGAGCAGGTTTGCTGACAGTAACCGGGGTCATCTAACAGCCCAAACTGCTCAGCAGGTCTGTAGCAGTGAAGTCCAAGATGAAGCCAGCAAGTCAAGTCAGCAGGTCTGGGTCAGGATTGACCTCAGGCACAGGCGTACCTGCAGTGTATAGCTCACGTAGGCACCGAGGGTGAGAGACTGAGCCTAACTGCAGGTCCCAAGCAACTTCTCTCAGCCCTTTCTCACACTGCTCTTTCCCAGCTCTTGGATCCAAGGCTCACGTCAGGGCTGGCTGCGAGCACAGGCACCCCTGCAGAGAGGTGGCAGAGCTTGTTGGTGCACTCGGGACCCTGATACATACATGAGCAGACACATTTATATTAAAAATTCCAACTGCTTATGCTCCAGTTGACTGCATTTCAGAATCTACATCTTTTTTTTTAAAAAAAAAAAAATAAAAAAAAATTAGCAAGATGCCTAAGCTTTCTCACCTATTAGCGCTGGCTGCTGTTGGGTATCGCATCACAGGAGACATTTGGCTACTTTGGCCCAACTGTTTGGCCACTACCCTCTTTTTTTCCTCATCTCTCTCCAGTGTAGGCTTGCTGTAGTTGTGCTGGCTCTAGTGGGGTTTGCTACTTCCCAGTATTCTGTGTTGACTCGGTGAGATTATGTAGTTCAGACTCAGTCTTCATTTTGCAGCTATTTACATGTAGCGATGGAACACTCAGGGTACTCAGGCACTGGAAGCTGATGTTAGCAAGATATATACTCCACTACTTTTTAAAAATAATGACAATAATGAATCTAAAGCTCTGAAACTCCTGGCTGTAAACCAGCGGAGTCCTTATTCCAAGCTAAACTGTGATGTTTCACTTACTTAAAAACATGCAGAATAAAATTATTTTCTTGTAACAACTTTTAAAGCCCTGCCAAACCTCCCAGGCAAAGAACACTTCTACTTAATTGGCCTTTTCAGAAAAATGCTATTAGAATAGAAGACTTTGTAGCTTTCCCTGAAGACAGCTGCCTTGGGCTCTGTCAAGGAGATAAATTTCTGGTTAAAGTGGTTTAGTCTCTGGGAAAAAAAAAAGCTTTCTTCAAAGGGTCCATGAAGGAGAGTTTCTGTATTGAAAATGGGATGTAATCCTTTTTCAGCAGAAGAGGGATGTGACAGATGGGCCTCATTACAAGTTTCTCAGTGCAGAGTTGAGGGTTTCATCTGGGTGATGGACGTGCTATGGACAGCTAAGTGTCTCTGCGTATAATGGTTTCTTCTGCTTGTTGCAATGGAAATAGATTATGTCGCGAAGCAAAACTTGCACCTTTGCCATGGTAGACCGTATGTGTGCATCGAGATACTCAGGCTGGATGACAAAAGAGAAACAGCAGTTTTTGCGCTAGCTACGTTAGCTGCCACCTTCCCCCTCTGTCTTTTCTCTCCGTTAAAGAATTTAAGATTTAAATTTAAGATTTCCGGAGAAGGTGATTGAAATCACGTTAATTCTGGCTGTAGCCTCACAAGTGCTAGACGAGTTTCTGCCGTAGCGCTCTGGTCCTGGCTTGCAGATGGACGGTTGGTAACAATTTCTTTGTATAATTGCAATGTTGTGTTACCCCATTGTAAAAACCTTCATAGAATAAGCACCATGGATCCCATCCTTGGCTACTGTCACACAACTTCACTGATGTCAGAATTCAGCCTAAGACGTGTGCCAGCTTGCCCAGTGGACTGCTAACTATTTCCATTTCCTTTCCATCTTTACTCTTCAAAGTTGTTGTGTTGGGTTTTTTTTTTTTCGTGGGTTACTTATTCTGTGGCTCAAATAACATATACTGAGTTTCAAAAGTATTTTACAAGCTTCTGAATGTGAATTTGACCATTCAGGCAGATAGCAAAGTCAGCTTTGGCTTTGAAACGCTGCAAGAATCGGCAGGTGCTTTATGTCCAGCATAACAAGTGACGTTCCTTAGGAAATGCAGCTTGTACTTCTGTACGGGGAAGATTAGACATGCTGTTTATGACAAACCTGCTGATGCATTTTAGAAGACTTATTCACATTACGAGAGACACTTAATTTAAAAACAGGTTAACAAAAAGCTGTGTACCTTCAAGGCAGGTGAAGCATTGTTTGTGAGACCTGTAGATTAGTTAGTGATGGTCACATACTGGTTTATGACGATGGTTGAGTGCAGTTGTGCTTGTAAACGTACTCAAATGCAGGATGTTCAGGAATTATGCTAAGTTACTTTACAGATATTACTTTGGGAGCTTGTAAACGTACTCAAATGCAGGATGTTTAGGAATTATGCTAAGTTACTTTACAGATGTTACTTTGGGATTTTTTTTTTGGCTAAATAATCTTGAATATATGTAGACCTGTTTGATCTTGACTACACATTTGCTATTTTTCTTTGTTTCTTTCTTAAGAACTCAGCTTTACTGTCCATTTTTCTGTTCTATCCAATATGAAGTGGAATGGTTTGAAGCCATGGAAATTCAGGAACTGCCCATCAGAATATAAGGATCCAATTAGTTAGTTTGTGCAATCTTATGTCCGCTAGAAATGCAGTGCTCTGAACATCCAGCACAGGTACGGAACAGATAATACATGCAGAAACAGGAGGGACACGTGGCTCTGTTATTGTTAGTGGTTATGGCTGTGTGTGAAGACTTGGATATAGATCATACGTGCCGCAATGATAGTGATTTCTCTAAAGAGATGACTCTGTCTATCTGCTTGAAATTTTTGGAGAACATCAGGGATTCCAGTGTTTTGATATTGAAGTGCATGTGATAATTAAAGAGAAAGGTCCTGAATTCTAATGAATGATATGCTAAAAATGTTCATGCTTTTAACAGGTCTAATGGATGATACTAATTCTCTAATGTCGGCAAGAAAGGCTTTAAATATTTATCTTTGCTCTTCAATGTGCCAATTAAACTAATTCTAGCCATCACTTAGTTTGAAGTTATGCAATGATTTTACGAGCTGGCTATTTCTACCCCTGTAGGAAGAACAGCAGCAACTGCTTAAGCTAGAAAATGAACAACTTCAGGTGGAGAAACGACAGAAACAGAAGGAACGCAGGGATATGTTGCTCAGTGCGGCACGGGACAAGAAGAATCGTCTCAATGAAGAAAAACAAGGTGAACTTGCCCTAGAGATGAAGATCTTGGAACAATCTCTTCAGAAACCCCAGGAGGACAGTGAGAAGAAAACAAAGAGCAAAGTAAGGGTTAGGGGTGTTCATTGGGAAGTTGTGGGGCAATACCTCATCTAGACTAATTTTGTGGCCCTTGGCAAACGGCACAGTATAAATGACATCAGACACAAGCCCTTTTCTCTGAACAAGTTGATTCTTTTGTTGCATAGCCTGTTGCCTCTCCTCCTGCCAGCGCTCTGCTTCTCTGAAGAAGCCCATTATCTGTTAAAACCGCAGCGAGTGCTCCAAAGGATGCTTTGCAGTCAGCAAGGTGGCCAGGCTAGACAAAAGAAAGGAACTCTCAGGAAATCCTGGAATCTTGTTCCTCCATGCTGATTTCATTGTGTATAAATCACCTGAGCTTTTTCATCCATGTACTGCATGGAGGTAATGGAGGTTCGAAAAATATTTTCTGTTTCATGGACCTGATTTATTAAATATTTGTAACTGCAGAGGAAAGTAAATATTTAACTTATTTCTTAGTATTAATGAATTAGAACGGTTTTAAATCTTTAATAGCTGGATATATAGATGTAAAACCTCACATTCAGTATTTTGGAGATGCCATGAAACGATGGATGTGTCTGTTCCCTTCCTAAGTTTAAAACAAGTAGATTGTCCAACTTCAGGGTGAAAACGGGTCTTGAGGTAACTTTAAGACAGAGCAGGCAGCTGCCTTCATTACTCTGCTCAAGGTATTTAGAAGCTCAGGTAGGTTAGGAAAGTTGTATAAACTCACTGTTAGACCTTGGCACAAAATTAGAGGAGGTGATATTTATTATTTATCGAATCCCAAGGCTTCTAATGCAGGTGCTGGTGAAGTAGCCTGGTCAGCCGTGGAAAGTTTGTAAAATGTCTGGGTTGTAAGGAGCTGAGCTGCTCTGAGGGAAGGGATCACTCTGTATTTGTTCTGCTCTTACGCTGTTGCCCAGGCACTCTCGACTGGCCAGGTAGAAGATTCTGCACAGCTCTTTCCCACGGCAGGGTTTGGAATAGAGCTCTAGGCTCCCAGTTCCCACATTAGCCGCAAACCACCACTTCTCTTCACGTTTTACAAGGGTTTTTTTGACTCGTTTACTCAGATCTGCAAATGTCTGTGTGTTTGCAGCAAGAGCTGTTCAAGGAGCAGCAGACTTACCTGGCACACCTGGCTCAACAGCTGGAGGAGGAGAAACGGCGAGAAAAAGAAGCGGACAAGCTCCTCGATGAAGAGATGGCAAAGGTTTGGGCCAAGAAGGCTGAGCAAATGCGATTAGAAAAGGAGGCGAGAAAGCAGCTACTGAAAGGGGTCCTGAATACAAGACAACTGCAGATTGAGGAGAAGCGTAAGTACTATCGGCTCGCTGTCTGTGCACCAAACCTACCGCACGAATCCAAGTCTTGGCAAAGGCAGAGGGAGTACGACCCGCTGCTTTTCGGAAGACCATCTGGCCCAGCATGCACAGACTGTATGGTTGAGTGGTCGACAATGCTACTGTCTCTCAATCTGCTTCTGAAACTTTACTCCTACAGGCATTCACTACACTAATTTCCGATTGCTGTCACCAGAGCAAAGCCTAGTAAAGTCAGGATTGCATGAGCAAGCAGTCATTATTATTAATTGTTATTATGATTAAGTTCTGAATGTGGAATCTTTTTGATTCTCAGTGGATAAAAAAATAAGCTGAGAATACACTTGCCATTGTTTGTGTGCCTCTTTAGAAACAACAAAACTCAGGCTTGCTATTTAGGCTGCTTGGCTTGAAATCAGTCTCACTGTCCTTTCAAGCTGAGCAGCGCTCTTCTAGAAGTTTTGTTGTTTTTTTTTTTTTCAGTGCAGAGAAATGCACAGGAGCAGAAAGAACTCGCTCAAGAGAGGAAGTTATTAGCTGAAGCAATCACAGAACTCAAGCATATAGAAGAAGAAAAATATGCAAGGTATTTTTCTTTTATGCCATCGGTTCATTTCATTGCAGATCAATCTTTTAAACTTGTAAGTAGGCTAATTCTCATTTTCAGGTAACTCTAAGAGCACTGGGTGGGCTTTTTTCTGTTCAGAGAGGCTCTACCACCATGCAGCCTATTGGCTCCAAACTGCTCAACAGCAGCCCTGGTATATTGCAATTGATATTAAATCATTAATTCTGATCTCATCGTACAAATAATGGTGTTTCATTACATATCCTTGGTTTGGTCTTTTTGGACCATCAGGTGACTTATATCGATCACGTTTATTAAATACATCCCCTCATACTCTGAGCTGTTACTAGGAGCGGCAGAGGTTTGGGGAGGAGGGTTAATGAAAGGCTAGTTCGTTACTTACGAGAACTAGTGTGTTCAGGCTTATTGCAGAACTCCACCCACACACATCCCTTAAACAATCATGTAGTCAGCCACCAAAATACCAGGCTACTCCACGTAGCTGCACAGCATTCTCCTTACCCCACAGTTCCTCAGGGTGAGAATATCGTTGTACGCAGTAGCTGAAATGTTCCTCTGGGTGTCATGCAAAGCCCGGGGCAAAGGGCCTTATTTTTCATTTCGTTTCCCTTTTGTACTCCTGCCCTTTCCTCCGCACTTGTCCGTGGCAGGTAACCGAGCAGCTCCTTCCAGAGCCACGATCTGTTGCCTTCTCTGATGGCTTTGTTGGTAACAATCTCCTGGCTATGGCAGAAATCTCACCCTTCTGAAGGAAACGTGCTGGGCTTCGTTTTGGATATGGTTTACTTAGCAAAGCTGGCATTCAGCGGTGTCAGTAAGTGTTTGGGGTTCAACTGTCTCACGTTAGCGCACAAGTCTTGACTAGACTGGTGGCGTTTTAAGCGTCCGTGTTTTCAGAAGCGCCTGAACACGTGGGTAGATTTCCACCGCTTCTCCAGAGGGTTGTGAAAGTAATATACGAGTCTCGAGGAAGAATGATTTCTTCTGACAGCCGTTTCCTAGAATATCGGTGCAACACCGCAGCAGGGACCTGCACCCTGCCTTCGCCGTCGGCAGGAACTTGTTATCTTCAGAATGAGGGAGCGGAGATGATGGGGTGTGCGGCGGCTGCAGCGATGAGCCTGAGCTAGGAAAGGACTGAGACCTGACACTCTCATTCTCTGCCTTCTCACCTCTCCACACTGATTACAAGGAGTTGGTTTTGCTCCTTTTTGTTGTTGTTGTTCTGTTAAGCACTGATTCTGCAATAAGATACAACAATGCAATTAATTCTCTGAAGAACATAAGGTTAGCATGTAGCATTTGGTTAATAGAGCGGTAGTAATTCTTAACACCTAAAAGCAGTTTTCAATGGTTCTTTAGTCTAAGGTTGAATACCAAGATTAAATAATAATAATTAAAAAGCTGTTTATTTTTTGTACCCACATTTCATAAATAAGCTCTTCATGTATCATTTCCAGAAAAGTAAAGGAAGCAAAGGAATACCAAGAGCACCTCAGGGCTCAAATTGCCTGTCGACAACAGGCCCGTGATGCTGAGGAAGAAGAGAAGCAGCAAGAATATGAATCGGGTCTAGCAGCAGAAAGAGCGTACCAAGAAAGGCTACAGGACATTCTATCAAGGCCCTGTGAGAAACGAGAAAAAACCCACCCTTTGAGAAGAAAACTAACGTCTAAGTCTCAAGGAGATCACTTACTATGATATTTTAGCTCACTCAGTTGTCTTTAAAAGCATTTTCTAAGGTGTTTATAACTGAAGTTAGCAGACCCCTCTCCACTGTGACGCTCGAAATACTTAACTGGAAAATACAAGAAATGTAGTATTTTAAAGGTTATTTTTTCCGTATGGATTTTTTTTTGACAAAATGACCAATCCAACTCAAAGTGTTTGATGTTTTAATACAAAAATACCGTATGTTCTCTGCAGTGGAATAATTTATTATGACATGGCTGATATGTAGGCGTTCTTTAAAAACTGCACAAAGAAAATTTGTAGAAGAGTTTCAGCAAACTTTTATTAAAATGCCTTTCAAACTGCAAATATTTGGAAATCAAAATCTGTTTTTTGTATCTAGACAAAAGGTACTTAGTGTGACTCATCTTCATTTTCCTGGTTAAATATAAAACTATGAATCTAATTCACAATAGGAGATGGGCAGTAAACAGCTGATGTTGCTTTGCATCTATTCTGATCGCTGTTGAATGATCTGTGAAATATTGGAGTCCCAAAGCTAGTCTGTGAGACCTCTGCTTGCACAGAATTAATTCTGCAGGACTGAAGCTACCATTTTTTTGCAAAAAGGGTTATTATTTATCATTCTGATGGCAACTCTGCCTTGGATTGCCACCCATGCCATAGCCTGAACGCACAGAATCGGGGAGGGCTGGAGCACCAACAATATTTTAAGACAGAACGACACAAAAAAAGGCCATAGGAAGGACACACAAGGGTTTTGGCAGTGGGGAGAAGGGGGACACCTCCTCACTGCTCTCACAGTCCCCTCATGTCGATGCCCTTTATGCAGGAGGGAGCAGTGGGTGACACAAGGTGGGAGCAATCCAGCTTTTCCCCACGGCGTTGCCCTCGCCCAGTGCCCTGCTATGTATTTCATTAGTTTGGCCTCTGTCCTTTCCAGAGGAGGGAAGTGAAGAATCTGTTTATAACCTCATATCCTTTCTTGTTCATAGCCGTTGTGGCCTTTGGAAATGTTTTACCTTCTTTCTCGTATTTTTCCATTTGAGTCTTTGCTGCTGCTTATCTGCAGATGTTTCTCTCTCTTCCTTCAGCTTTTTGGCTTCTACCATCTTTCCCCCAGCCCCTGCTCTTCCACCCTTTTCTTCTCCAACTTCCATCCCTCACAAAGCATTTCCTCTACCTTCTTTCTCCTCCCTGCCTTGCCTTTTCAGTGTTTGGCTCCCTCTTGGCAAGTCCCAGGACTCTTGTGGTTTTGTTCTGTGGGAGCATGAACGGATGCACGGGGAAGCTGAAAAAGGGCTGGGATCGGAGCCCGGGAGCCCCAGCGCCCCAGCTCCCAGGCCTCTTGGAAAAAATCAGGAATAAACTTGCCTGCACAGTCGCCTTGTCTTAGTTTAAAGCTGACGCTGAGCTGACAAAACCTTTTTGTCTGTGGAGAAAGCCGTACGGCTGTCTGCAAAAGGCCAGGTAGAGCTGGATTAATCTGAAACCGTATCGATGATTTTAGCAGAGCAACTCAGGTGTGTAAATGGTGGAAGAACCAGTGTGGGTGAGGTTTTATCCTGGCTTACAGATAAAAACTTTTCCCGAGAGAGCAGATGGAAGAGGGACAAGTTCACACCACCCAGCTAGGTGACTGGACAGAGCGGAGCGGAGCCTCTTCGTGTCTTGTTCCTTGAATCCCTTCTATCCAAACAGGCTCTGTCACCTACAGACATCGAGAAAACAAACATTCCTAAATGTGAAAACGTTGCAAACCGGGAAAGGCAGGTGGTTCACCGTGACATCTACCCTTAGACGGTGCTTTTCAGCAGCCATCTCCAAAGCCACACAGAGGACTTCGGAGCTGTTTTGCAAGTAGGAAAGGCCATCCCAGATAATGGAAATAGTTTCATCAGTCCAGGGAGCTCAGGTAGTCGTAGGTCTCTGCTCTCGCCGCTGGGTCAAATTGGCAGAATGATTAAGAGATTCATTTCCTGGTCTGCCGCAGACTCCCGGTGTGGCCCTGCACAAGTAATGTAGATTTTTCTTTACTGCTGTGACCTCTCTTTGAAAAATGAACATAATAGCACATTCAGAATTCCAGGATTAATTACAGCATGTTATTAAAGGCTGTGACACTGTCGTTGGGCACACTCAATATGTGAGAGACAAAAAATACCATATTGGTGAGCTCGGTGAATTTGAGCCATCCAGAACTATAAGAAATTCTTTTTTAATAAAATAATAACTCAGAAGAGGTGGTCAGAGCTATCAAGCATTTATAAAGTGCCTGAGCTCCTGCTCCTGGAGGTAAAATTCCTCTGCACTGAACGTGAAGTCTGCACAAATATAAAAAATCAGCCTGAAAGAGGTTTGCCCTCAGGAGAAATGAATTCCCATGGGATAATGGGCAACCAAACTCTTCTGAGAGAAAACCGGTGGTCGATGAGCGTGATGCTGGGGCTGACCCCTTTGCTGCTGAGTGCTCTGTAGGCTTCACCTTTGTCTAGAATAACGGATAAGGCTCCTATCTGGGTGCTGAGCGGCTGGGTGGGTCAGCAGACTCCTTTAGAAGCATCCTCTTGCTGCCCCTAAGTCAGATGAGTGATGCAGTAAGAAGTATTTTCTATGTCAAGACCGAGGAGTTTCCTTAATCCTATCGATTTCCATCTTCTTCCAGTTCCTTTGACGCCCTCGCAGTCAACTGGGCACCAGACAGCACGTGCTTCAAAGCGTGGTCGTGCCTTTGCCTCCGACTACCGCTCGTGAAGATTTGTGACTGAGAGCACCAGCAAGCAATAACCAGCAAAATGGATCTGAAATTGTGCCTTACAGGTCCCGAGATCCTCAGGAGCGTTAGCTGCTACTCATGTGCGTGGTATTTCCCTCCCGAGCGAGCAATCCTGGAGCCAAACCATCTATTAAACCGAGAGCGCAGGACACCGCTGATCAGTGAAGCAGCCTGGTCCACGGCTGGGTGACCTCTCCCTGCGGCAGGGCTGTGAGCAACCCAGAGACGAAACCACTGGCGTTTAAAAACCAGGCAGTTACAGCCTCTTCATTTATACAGGTACTAGAGCTTTGCAAAATACTCTTTCCTGTATTTTTTTATTACATTTTTTACACTGACAGAGGAAGAACAGAGGTGTGGAGCGTGTGGGTGACTTGCCTATGGCAGAGCCGGGAACGCTGGTCCCCGATCACATCGACTCAGACCCACTCCCAAGGTTCGAATCCCCGGCACTTGCCAAGGCTTTAAGACTTTCCTGCACCCACTCATCTGCTCACAGGGGGTTTTATACTGACCCCAGGACTTTCCACGGTGATGAGTTTTGGCCACGCACAAGGCGTTGAGCTGGGGAGCGGTTCCTGGTGCCCTGTGGCACTGTGCTGGCTTGGTCCCCGCTCCCTGGGGCTGGGCAGCAGGCTCCTGGGGCTGTGGGAGCGTCTTCGGGGCTGGAGGCTTGCTGCAAAGCTACATCCAGCTTTGGACAGATCAGTCTAATTTGCAGGAAGATCCTACTTCGTTAATTATCCATTGCTTTAACCCCTTGATTAATTTTTCATTACTTTAACACAGGTAGGAACACTTGCTACAGAAACAGCCAGTGCAAACATGCCCAGGGTACGATGACACCGCAGCCCCAGCCAGACCCGAGGATCATGCCCAGACGTAGCACGTGGTGACTTCTGCACAGCCCACGAGGAGAGAAGTCCAGATTTGAGGTCTTTGGGACAATTCTGCGTACAAAAATTCAGGACTTGGGAATGTATTTAGCAACAGTCAACTCTGTCCTGATGACGTTTGGAGCTGTCAGAATTGATGCTCCATATTTTTGTGTTACCTGCTACCATGCCCCACGCAGGCGGTGTCACGTACAAAGGACATCCAGCGAAAGCACAAACCTTTCCCTGCAAACCTTAATACACATGCAGAGAGCTTAAAGCCCTTTGAACTGTGCAGAAATTGCCCCTAATTTTCAGGAACAAGGTTGACTCAGCTCTTGTTTTACCTCTGGCCACACACGCTCTCAGCAGTAGATCCTGCTGCAAAGTATTTCCACGGAAGATTTCAGGATGGGGTTATCGGTGTTAACGTACTGCTCTTACATCGAAATTCAACGCTGTGACTGTAGTTTGGGAGTCAGGAGATTTCACTACAGAAACGCTGGTTTCTCCTGCCCATCTGAATTCAACGGCAAACTCACCTTTGCTCCTCTACCTAAATAAAACCCGAAAGCTGATGTGGAATGATGGAGTGCCTGTTGCAGAGCAGATAACTCCGCTCTTAACCTCCAGCACCAGCCCCAGCACCCTGCCCGTCTGGCCGAGCCCTCCAGAGCCCCTCGCCGCTCCGTGCCATCATCCGTCCGTCCATCCCTCCATCTGTCCCTGGGGTCTCCATGTGTCATTGCGACACAGGGACAAGGCTGGGACCTCTGAGCATCTGGGGGAGCACACACATCTCCACCGTCCGTCCGGTACCTGCAAAGAAGCCACCGGCTCTGCTTAGAAGGGGAAAAAAACTGATATTTGGTTCATTTTCACCTCTAAGTGCCTTCAACTTAGTGAATGCAAGAGGTGGTACCATAAAACGCTGTTTAAGAGCCAGTGCTCATTAAATATTATAATCCACACAAGTTTTTGATTCCCAAATGGGAAGAAACTTCTCTCTCCTGAAGGAGTCAATTTCCAGCAACTCAGCACTTAGAACACACTTCAGGGATTTTGTATGTATTTTGGGGTTTTTAGTTTCTAACTTTTAATTAAAGTTTTAGATTAATGGAAAATCACACATAGCACCAGCTGGTATTTCATGGGAACGGCTGTGCTTCGCCTCTGGGCTATCACTGCTACCCAGGTTTCACTGAAACCTTTGCTCCTCATTGCGCTGGTATTTCCCATTTTGGTTCTACAGTTGATTTAATAAAAGGAGAGGAGCAAGTTTTGCTTGCCCGACAAAGTTATCTTAAAGGCTTTGCAGAGATTACGCTGTCAAATGTTTTACCCAGGGTAATTTCTAG